CTGAGATTCGTAGTTTCTTGGGCTTAGCTGGTTACTACCGTCGTTTCGTTGAGGGGTTCTCCCTTATTGCGGCTCCTCTGACGAAACTATTGAGGAAAGATGTTCCATTTGTCTGGTCTGAGGACCAACAAGCTAGCTTTGAGAAATTGAAGACTGTTCTAACTCAAGCCCTAGTGTTGATTCAGCCTGAATCTGGGAAGGATTTTTCTGTCTACAGTGATGCTTCTTATTCTGGATTAGGATGTGTTTTGATGCAAGATAGGAAAGTTGTTGCTTATGCGTCACATCAGTTAAGGCCGCATGAGCGTAACTATCCTACTCACGATCTGGAATTAGCTACTGTGGTTTTTGCTTTAAAGATCTGGAGACACTACCTCTACGGAGAAAAGTGTTATATCTACACTGATCATAAGAGTCTGAAGTATCTGCTTACTCAGAAAGAATTGAATTTGAGACAGCGTCGCTGGTTGGAGCTTTTAAAGGACTATGATTTTAAGATAGAATATCATCCAGGGAAGGCTAATGTAGTGGCAGACGCCTTGAGCCGTAAGGCGATATCAGATCTCAGAGCCTTATTTGCCAACTTGAGTTTATTTTATGATAATAGTTTGTTAGCAGAGTTACAGGTTAAACCTACTTTGGCCGAGGAGATTAAGGCTAAACAACTCCTTGATAGCTCGTTTCTTCCCATTATGGAACAAGTTAAGCAAGGATCGAGTTCGGAGTATACTGTGGATCAGGATGGTATTTTGTGTTTTCACGGTCGTTACTACGTCCCTAAAGATGATGAGTTGAAACGGGTTATTCTTCAAGAGGCTCATAGTAGTCCTTATGATATGCATCCTGATGGGGACAAAATGTACAATAATCTCAAAGAGCGCTACTTTTGGACTGGTATGAAGAAAAATATTTCAGATTTTGTGGCGAGGTGTTTGACTTGTCAGCAGGTTAAGGCAGAGCACCAGCATCCGTCTGGATTGTTACAGTCAATTAAGATTCCTGAGTGGAAATGGGAGCGTATTACGATGGACTTCATTACTGGTCTTCCTCTAACTCCTTCCAAAAAGGATTCTATCTGGGTGATTGTTGATCGACTCACCAAGTCAGCGCACTTTATCCCTATTCGGGTTAATTATTCTCTGGATAAACTGGCTAAGTTGTACATTTCTGAGATCGTTAGACTTCATGGTGTTCCGTTGTCTATCATATCTGATCGAGATTCGAGATTCACTTCTAGGTTCTGGAAAGCTTTGCACGAGGCTCTTGGCACTCGTTTGAATTTCAGTACAGCTTTTCATCCTCAAACTGATGGACAGTCTGAGCGAGTAATTCAGGTGTTGGAGGATATGTTACGAGGTTGTGTGATTGATTTCCGTGGTAGTTGGGAAGATTTCTTGCCGTTAGCTGAGTTTGCTTACAATAATAGTTATCAGGCGAGTATTCGCATGGCACCGTATGAGGCTCTATATGGACGTAGATGTCGTACTCCTATATGTTGGACAGAGTTGCATGATAGAAAAACTTTGGGTCCAGACTTTGTTCGAGAGACTGAAGATACTGTCAGACTGATCCGTGATCGCTTAAGAGAGGCATTTGATAGGCAGAAGTCATACGCAGATAAGCGACGTAAGGATATCGAGTTTGAGGTTGGAGATAAGGTTTTCCTCAAGGTATCTCCATGGAATAAGGTATTGAGATTTGGACGTAAAGGTAAAATGAGTCCGCGATTTATTAGGCCGTATCGTATTCTGAAGAAAATTGGACCTGTTGCTTATCAGCTTGAGTTACCTCCACACCAGTCGTATTCATGATGTTTTTCATGTGTCTATGTTAAGGCGATACCGTCCAGATCCAGATCACATCATTCAGGTTGATGAGGTAGAGCTGAGACCTGATTTGTCATATGAGGAGAAGCCTGTTCAGGTTTTAGAAAGAGATGAACGAGTTCTTCGGAATAGGCGTATTCCAATGGTCAAAGTGCAGTGGAGTAATCGTAGCCCCTCAGAAGCTACTTGGGAGACCTTGGAGTCAATGGAGGTTCAATTTCCTCATCTGTTTTCATAAGGTAAATTTCGAGGACGAAATTTCTTGTAGAGAGGGAGAATTGTAACAACCCGAAAATTTCAAAATAATGTTTAATTGAAATTTGAGGTTAATTATGAAAATTGATGAAATTTGGGGACTAAATTGGAAGTTCTTTAAACTTGTAGATTGTTTTAGAATTAAAAGAAAATTTAGGGACCAAGCCCTGAATTTACCCTTAAATGTTAGGTATGTTTTGGTTTATATATATGAATACATGGTTTTCGGTTTTCAAAACAGAAAACCACGCCCAAATTTCCCTTCCCCCACCTCAACTTCCGACGACGATCCCGACGCCGTCTGAATTCTGATCGCCGTTTTGAAAGCACCATCGTGTTCGTTATCGAGTCAGGAACAATCCCTTCAATTTAATTGAAGCGAAACGCTGCCAAACACCGTGAATTTCAAGTCAAATCATCGCCGTTTTTTTTAGCTCAATCGCCTAGAAAATCCTAAATTCATCGCCGATCGTTACTCCGTTTACGACACCTCCCACACCATCGTGTTCATTGTGCCGTTCCGAGTCCGCCGGTGTCATCCTCGGTCTTCGTCGACGGCGACGCGTGGGGAGGTGGATCAGTCAAAGATTCGGCCGAGTCTAAATCGAGCTCTCCGCCATTCTAAAATTTGAACCGATCTTTGTAAGTATCTCGAAATCGCTCAAAATAATTTTTAGAAATTTTTCCGTGATTTTTAGAGCCCCGGAAGACGTCGCACGCGGAACACGCGCCACCAGGGCGAGTGAAGTCTGGAAACCGGTTTAACCGGTTTGACCAGTCACGACCCGACCCGTTGACCCGAACCGTTGACCCGACCCGAACCGTTGACCCGACCCGACTCGTTGACACGACCCGTTGACCGGTGCTATTCTGAGAATTTATTCGATTTTGGTGCTATTTTGGGAATTAATTCAAAATGGGTGCTATTTTGGTAATTTTTTTCAAAAAAAAAATGATATTTTGGGAATTAATTCAAAATTGGTGTTATTTTGGGAATTAATTCGTAAAGGGTGCTATTTTGTTAATTATTTTAAAAAGGGTGCTATTTGTGTAAAATGTTTGACAGTTTGTTGACCTCCTTTGACCGGCTATTAAACGATCATTAATCTTTTCCGAAAATACATATCCTGACAATTTTTGACGTCCCGAATCCGTTTTTGGGGTCCGTTTTGCTAAATTCAAACACAAAAGTCTCTAAATCGTCAGTCAAACTTGTTGACTTTAATTTTGACCAAGAATTTGAAATTTCGGAAGGTCATACATTATGTTTTTCGACGTCTTGAATCTGATTCCGAAGTTTGTTTTGCCAAATTCTGACCCGAAATTCCCGAATCAAGCTTGTGAACCCAAAAAGGCTTAGTATTTTAGTATTTTGATTATTTATTTGAGATATGGTTAAGGAATTGATTAAGTAAGATATTTTATGAAGGTACTCGTGTTTCACCTGAGCAAGGATCAGTCAGGTCCGGTGTTGTCTGTTCTTCAGATCAGTCCGAATCGCGTATTACCAGAACTACCCATAGGTTTCCGTATATTATTTAAGTAAAGATTAAGATTATTTTTTTATTAGAATTCCAATAAGGATTTTTCCAATTCGTAGGATCTAGCGCTGCAGCAGAGCGTGATCGACAAAACCAGTAATAAGCTTCCCTATCTGATTTCTCAGACTGTTACAGGTGTGTTTCCATACCAGTGTTATCTTACAGTTATAAACTATATATCCGAACTAGTTTATATTATGAGAATATAATATACTTTCTGAGGAAATATCCGGTATTTTGAATAATGTTTATTAAATGTCTGATTTACCGTATAATTTTTATATGGTTTATAGTTATAGTACTTTTGGTACATGATTTCTAAATATGGAACATTTCCATATTTAATGGATTAATTACTGTTTTTACTCCAATGCATACATGTTTATTTTGTCATTTGGGGTACAATTGAAGGAAGGTCCCTTTGCTGTGTGCGAAGGTAAGCCTTACAGTTTCCCAGGTTCCTTTGCTGTGTGGGAAGGTAAGCCTTACAGTTTACCAGGTTCCTTTGCTGTGTGCGAAGGTAAGCTTTACAGTTTACCAGGTCCCTTTTGCTGTGTGCAAGGGTAAGCCTTACAGTTTCCCAGGTCCCTTTGCTGTGTTCGAAGGTAAGCCTTACAGTTTCCCAGGTCCCTTTGCTGTGTGCAAGGATAAACCTTACAGTTTTCCTAGGCTCCTCTACTTTGTGCACAGGTTAAGCCTTACTGGTGTATAGGCGGTGTACGGTTCAGGTGAACCTACACAATTTGGTGATTGGATGGGGGTAGTGTGCATGTTATTAAAATATATTTGATAAATTGTTTTATCTTATCTGAATTATTTTGTTGTGTATATGTTATACAATGTATGGGACACACTGGGCTTTTTAGCTCATTCTGTAAATTTTAACCTTTTTCAGATAACAGCAGACCGTAAGCTAGCAGATTTGGCATCAGGAGAAATCAACTACTTTATTTTGTACGAACATATATTTCTATATGTTTTTCGGTTATGTTTGGTGACATGTTTTTTATTATCGTTTTGGACATATCTGTATTATTAATATTATGTTCTATATTATATTTAACGTTCTATAAGTTATATATATAAAAAACCTCTGAATGGGATATGTGACCCGCTTAGGTTTGGGTCTATCTTACAGACCGAGTCTGGGGGGTTACAATATTCCAAAAGAAATGAATGAGCAGCCAGCCACTACTTATTGCAGGCATAGTGTTAATATGGACAATCTACAATCAACCTAAAACAAGACAGAGCTAAGACAGCAGCTACAACACATATTTCATTCCTACCTTCCAAAACTTGATGGTTTTATCATTAGTGGGAAGGAGGAAAAAGGCACTATTGACTGTTTGACACCATCTGATTTTATTGATTTTTCCCTCTATTTCCAAGCTCTTGAGATAGTCAAACTGCATTATCCAAAAAAAAATGAGATGGTTAAATTGGAAAGAGAAGGGGAAAACTATTCAGATGAAGATGGAGCAAAAATCTTGAGCCTAGTGGAATACAGGTTCTAAGGTTGTATGTGTATGTGTGTGCATGCATCATTGCATTTTAAAGTAATGAGAGAGCACCTCAGGCTCATGGCTCTGGAATTCTGTCTTGTAACGAAACTCAGGGTGCTGACTAATTGGATAATCCATTCTCTCCAGATCCCTTCTTGATACACCTTGCTACAATTGTAGTCAAATAAATTAATAATAGTTGCAACCCGAGGAAAACAATAAGGTAATATATCAACATCAACAAAGGTAGCAGAACCCACATCCTTTGTGTCTGTCCTCTCGAACAGAACAACACGACCCCCGCGGTCACCAGTGGCAAGATGATCCCCAGTTTTATCAAATTCAATGGCAGAAATAATATCAACTGCAGGAGGAAAAATATTTTCTTAGTTACAATATTGTACTTCCAGTAAGAGAAATGGTAAATATAAACTATTTTTCTCTCTATCAAAGAATCACAACTCTCAGTCTCTACTCTCTTGTCAACAATTTTATTTTCTATACAACATAAAATATTTCTGGCATGCCTAACATGAAGAACCCACACATTGTAATGCATATTCTCATTGCCATAGAATCACTACTATTCTGCCAAGCTTAAGAAAAATGTCATTGGGGCAATAACAAGCTCAATTTGGAGAGACAAGAAAGAATGAAAAGGGAAGTACCACACGGCTAGTGACAAGCACTAGGATCATAAGAAAGTCCAAGATAATTCCTTTCCAAAAGAATCCTAGCCAGAGAATATGATTCATTGTTTTTCAGAACTCAAAATAGAATTCTGCATTATTTAGCTACACTTTAGTCACTATTGGTAAATAAATAATTCTCCTTTCCACCAGAATCAACAGAAATGTTTCAGAGAGTTATCCATACCTCACTGAATCCAACCTTAAATATCGCCACACATACTTCAATGTTTCTGAAAGCCTACAGTCTTTATTCATCTGTTTCAGTGGCATACTTCAACATTTACACACATTATACTTACACAGGTTGAACTTTTTTTTATAAGAATGCTAGGCCTCGTTAAAAACCCCCTTTTTGATTAATGGGTATTGTAGGAAATCTCCTTAATCAACGGAAGGGGGAAAAGAGTGCCTAAATATTATATTCATCATAATAAATTACAAAGAAACAACAATAGGAATCCCCTAACAAAACACAGGAAACCAAGAAACAACCCTAAACAACCCTAAATAACAACACTAACTCATCATATGCCTTCTTTAGCTAAGGCATCAACCTCTAAATTGGTTGTCCTATTAACCCATCTAACAACACCTTCAAAGGCATTAAGCCTATGAACAATATCTTTAATCAAGAAGGCATAAACAACAGGACATAATTCAACCTCCTTGATCCAATCCACTGCCACCTTACTGTCACTCTCAATAATCAAACGGTCCTTGATCCTCTCTCGAAATTTGCAAAGAAAGACAACCCCTTAAGAATAGCCTTTAATTCCATCAAAGTAGGAGGTCCCGGACCAGCAGGTTCCTTGAAAAATCCTAAAGTAAAACCTGAGGAATCTTTTAAAACTCCTCCTAACCCGCTTTTCTTCCAATCCCTTGCAGTGGCAGCATCAACATTTAATTTAACAAAACCCATAGGAGGAGGAGACCAAGGTAAAATAGGTGCAATCTGATTAGAGTGGAGAGAAATAGAGTCCCCTAAAAAAGGGTCGGCAATGAGTGAGTCCTTAGGAATAGTCAATTCTTTATGCTTTGCTATGAACCAAGAAGAAGGCCTAAACCTTGCTAAAAAGAAGTATTCTGCCTTGTCAAACTTTCCCCCTTCAAACACAACAAAATTCCTAATTTTCCGAGTGGTCCAAAGAACGACCCCAGGAATAAAAGGCTATATCGTAGAGTTAGACTTCAAACCATCCGAAGATAGAAAAAGCTTTTAGCATCCGCTGGAAAAAAAGAACAAATCCTCCAAAAATTTAAAAACTTATTCCAAAGAGACCACACCACCGAACAAGAGAAAAACAAATGAGAGGAAGGCTCATCCAACATCTTGCATAGGGGGCACAACACATCTTCAATTCCTTGAACTCCTCTTTTGACAAGCTCTATCCTAACAGCCAGGTTCCCATGAACAATCTGCTAAAGAAAACACTCTACTCTTGGAGGCAGCAGACCTCTCCAAATAATCTTCTTCCAGAAAAAGACCTCCTCCGATCCCAAAGTCTTCGATGAACAAAGATTAACAACTGATCTAACAGTAAAGACCCCATCCCCAGTACCTTTCCAAATCAAGCGATCAAAAAATTCCGATGATGATGAAAAATTTGTAATGACATCCAACAAGTTAGACCACTGTTCAAGTTCCCAGTCATTCAGATTCCTTCTAAACTTCACATCCAAAATCCATACGAAAGTGATATACTCCCCAAATTTAGATAATTTCCCATACTTATTTGTGGAAATAGAAAATAGTCTTGGGAATATGACAGAAAGTGGATGATCCAAAGCCCAAATATCTTGCCAAAACCGAATAGTTTTTCCATCACCAACATGATAACTACACATGCTTCTAAATTTAGTGCTAAAATAGTCTTCTTTAAAATAATTATTTAGCACTGATCTCCAAATCCAGGATACCTTAGGTGGAATCTTACTGTCAAAAAGTAAAAGTGAAGAATCCGGTCTATATTTAGCACAAACAACTTCCCTCCAAACTGATTCTCTATCATTGGCAAACCTCCAAGTCCATTTCCCTAAAAGCGTTCTATTCATCAAGTTTAGATTAAGAACTCTTAAATCCCCTTCACTCTTCGACTTGCTTACATTGGACCAGCTAACCCAATGAATTTTTCTAATGTCATTTCCCCCTCCCCATAGGAAATTGGACATAATAGAGTTAAGGGTTTTAAGAACCGAAGCTGGAATTTTAAACATGGATAGATATATGTAGGAAGCGAACAAAGAACCGCCTTAATTAACACTAACCTCTCTGCTAATGAAAGAGAGGTTGCCTTCCACCCGGATAGCTTGTTAAAAAAATTATTGATGACAGGATCCCAAATAGCTGCAGAGTTTCTACTAGCACCAAGAGGAAGCCCTAGATATTTTGAAGGAAATCTTCCCACTAAACAACCAATAGTAGTTGCCCATTCCAACAATTCCTCTTCATTAACATTAACACCAAACAATTTACTCTTCTTCAAATTCAGCTGTAAACCAGAAATCACTTGAAACACTCGCAGCACCCTCTTAACATTCAAAATTTGTATTTTCGAAGCACCAGAAAATATGATCAAATAATCAACAAACTGTAAATGGGACACATTAACATACCCCTATTCCCTGTAAATCACCATTCCAAAAATTAAACCCTATGATACAAACCTTCAAATCAATAAATTGAGTAGCTCATCTACTAAGGTAAACAACAAAGGAGACAAATAATAACCCTATCGAAGACGTTTAGACATTGAGAATTCCTCGAAATGAACTCCATTAACAAGAACCGAAACAGAAGCTGTGGTTACACACTACTTTATCCAGCCCCTCCATCTAAAACCAAATCCCATTTTCTCCATTATTATAAATAAAACTGACCACTCAACTGAATCGTAAGCTTTTTTGAAATCAACCTTGAAAACACAGCCCTTAAGTCCATTTTTCCTCCAATAATCTACTACTTCATTAGCAATTAGAGAACAATCCATAATATGTCAACCGGGAATGAAGGCAAACTGAGTTGGACTAATGATGTCTGATATACAACCCCTAAATCGCCTGGACAGACACTTAGAGATGATCTTATACAAATCACCAACTAGGCTAATAGGTCTAAAGTCATCTAAACCGCCAATGTTAGAAACCTTTGGAATGAGAGTAATAAAGGTATGATTAACCCCATGTTCCCAATCTTTCCCCAAGTAGAAATTATGAAAGAACTTCATAATATCTTCCTTGAGGACATGCCAAAACCTTTTGAAAAAGCCTATATTTAAACCATCTGTTCCCGGTGCTTTGTTACTATCACAAGACTTTAGGGTTTCCCAGACTTCCTCCGCTGTAAATTCATTCTCTAAACACAGATTCTGCTCAACTAAAATACTTGGAAAATTCAATCTTATTTCTTTCACTTCTAAAATCAAATGTTCATTGAAAATTTTAAAGAAGTGGTCTTTGATAGTGGTTTTAATAAGTGACGGTTCTTGAATAACATTACCCCCGATATTCAGAGCATTTAAAGCATTCCTCCTCTTCCTAATTGAAGCACAATTATGAAAAAAATCTTATATTTCGATCTCCTTCTTCAATCCATTTTGATCTGGAATTTCAGAACCAAATATGCTCATCTATTTTATATAGTCTCAACAGTTCTATTTTTGCTGAAATTAACTCTGCTTCTTTTTCACTAATAACACCATCCTGCATCTGTTGGATATCCATTTGTAACATATGGATCCTCGATTCTAACTCTGAAATATGAGCCCCTGGAAATTGATCCCTCATGTATGCCCAATTCTTAATAGACGTTTTTGTATTTCTCAGAATACTATAAATTCCAGCCTTCCTCTGATGATTCTTGCTTTCTTGAATTGAAGAGCTGACCAAATCCTCAAACCTATCTTCTTCCATGAGATAATTAAAAAGTTTAAAAGGTTTTTTACCCCAATTGACACCTCCATTTTCCAACAGTAAAGCATTATGATCTGAAAGAGACCTTGGCAATAAGGATTGAACAATATCGGGAAATGCAGCTAGAAATTGACCATCAACCAAAAACCGGTCCAATCTAACATAAGTAGGGGTATATTGGTTATTGCACCAAGTAAACCTTCCCCCATTCAAGGGTAGATCAATTAAGCCTGTTTGAAGCAAAAATGTTTGAATATCCTCATTGAATTCCTGTTCTGAGTTCTTCTGACCTTCTCTTCTTCATGTAGATATACATTAAAGTCCCCATCTACACAAATAGGAGCACTCTGACCACCTATGAAAATACTCAACTCTTCAAAAAACTATCTTTCTCCTCCTCCACTGAAGGGCCATAAACATTGATGAAGATACAAATGAAATTATTGACATGAAATTTTCTTGATAAAACAATGAATCTTCTACAAATAAACTGATTTTACAATTAAAAAATTTTATCGTCCTAACAACTCATTAAACCCCCTGATGAACCAACCGATGAAGATTCAATAACACCTTTAAAATTACGTAACCCCTTTCTTCTAAGAAAAGATCTAGGAATCTTCTCCATTTTCGTTTCTTGCAGCCAAAGAAACTGTGGGTGATTTTTATCAATTATCCTCTGAACAGCCCTCTGCTTTTCTTTTCTCCCCAAACCTCTAACATTCCATGAGACAATGACAAAATTAATCTTCATCATTAAATAGTCAACAATCTAAACCCCCATCAAGATCACCTTGATTGACCATATTAAAATCTTTCTCCAAGCTGATAATCTTTTCCAGAAAAGCCTCCTTCCCTTGCTTAAATGACACCCCCAATAGCTTGCTTATTTCCCAAGTTGCTAGGGCTTCCTCAATTACACTCGAAAAAGCTGAAGAAGACACTGTTGAAATGGTCACCTGTTCCAAAGCTTCCCTTAATAGGTGCCTTTTAGCACTTCTGATGTCAACACCCGAAATGAATCTAGTGTTTTCTCCTACCGACAACCCTCCTTCAACCACCGCATCCACTATTTGTTGAGTAACTTTTGAGGACTAAAACTCCCATTCCTTACTGATTAAATCCTCCTCTCTTTCAGGAATAACAATCAAAATGCTTCCATGCCATAATTTTCTGTCCCTAGACCTTGTATAAACCCTCTTATAGCTGCTTGTTCTTCTTCTCTCTAATGGAACACTTTTTTATAACAACATTCTTTTATTTCTGTACCGATTTCTCCCCCTTGAAAAGATTTCTATCATATTAATACTTGGATCTAACAACATTAACTCCGATCCAATAAGCCCTAATCCAGTCTGAAGACACTTCTCTGAATCTGACTCATTCGCCTCTTCTTTATTAGTATTTCCAGAGTTAACAGAATTATGCTCGTGGATCATTCTGCCAAACTTATCTATATTAATTGTTGGACCAGCTGGAATTATTTTTGAGATAAGAGGCCCAGAAAGTCCCTCATCATCTGATTGGGTCTGTGATCCATAAGCAGAAGATTTTGAATTTCTAATTCCTAACTCGGCAAAATCACCCACTTTTATACTCCCAATATTCTGATTTTCTGACAGTCCACAATTAATGCCATTCCTATCTATGGTAAGTATTGGGAGTTGTTTTTCCCCACCAACTCCCCCAGAACCAAGAAAAGCTCCATTGTCAAACCAATTGTCAACTCTTTACCGAAAATCTTCTACTGAACAATCTGTATCTTTCACACTTCCTGACATCAATTTGACTTCTTCCTCTACAGTGATCTTCTCTCCAAAATGTCCCCCACCGTAATCTTCCACCGGAGAACTGCTAAAAAAAGAACTTGAAGCCTCGCACGCCGATCCAACCTTGATGCACACTGTAAATGATCTTCCATATGAACCAAGAGAGATCACCTCCGGAACATCAAAACAACTTGCCACCCTCAATAAAATTTTTGCCCTTGTGAGGTTTTCTTTTTTCCTAGTGGCATCATGAATGTCAACAACTATTCCCCATCTCCCGACTATTTGTTCGAAGAACTGATCATTCTAGCATAACAGAGGAACCCCCACTAATTCCACCAGACAAAAGGCCATTGGGACTCTCTCATCATTCAAAAAAGGTGCCAATCGATCAAACCATAACTCAAATTCTTCTTTCCTCTTCAACCAAGTATCCCGCATCTCTTTAGATGAATTAAAGACAATAACACAAGAATTCCACACATGTCCCCATCTAGCAATTTGGACTTCATAGCCGTCCTTATGTAAAGCCTTCCGAACTGACTTAATCTGAAATGAATGTTTAATAATCCCGTTAATGACCTTTTAACCCAGCTTGAGCTTTCGGAAGGAATATGCATTTCCAGAATATTTTTCTTCTCTTTCCCCCTATGAATATAATCGGATAAAGTCGCCCTGTTCCCCATTGCATTTCTGTTTGATAAGAAAGCATCTTTATAAGACCTAACATCCCTAAAATAATTGTTTAAAACTTTCGCCTGATTGGAATTGGATGTTTCAACGATATTCTGGCTGAGAACCTTCTTTTAGGCAATATTCTTCCCCTCTAACTAGGAAGGAGCTCCCTTGTATCTTGCAGGACCAACTAAAATCTTCCTCCCATCTATCAGTACACCATTTAAGACCTCGACTGCCCTCTTCAAACCTGCCTCACTCTTAAACTTAACAAAGGCAAACGTTGAAAATTTGTATTTTGGATTCCTAGTTACTTTGGGAATGAAAACTCTCTCAATAGGACCATGGACTAGGAAAATTTCCCTTAACGTACATTGGGACACCCTCCTACTAAGATTGTCGATAAACACCGTCCAGTTTTCATCAGAGACTGACTTTCCTTTGAAACTCTCTCTCTACATTTTTCTCTTTCTCTCTCATCTTTCTCATTACACATGTTGAACTCAAATTGTAAGTCAAGTTTCAGTACTGAGTTACTAAAATAAATGATACAAATTTAAAATAGAATCTAAAAGATCAAATATCTACCAATCACTGAATTACATCTTTCTTACAAGCACCATACAATCTCACATTATTCAACTTATAATCTAACTCACTTTCTGTGTATCCCATTTACTTGGAAGTTAACCATAATATAACCAATTCGTATCTAAAATAAACCACCACCAAGAAAACCTAGGAATCTGTAAATTATAGCCATCTTTATCCTCCATCATACAAATAGTAAGCCCAAGCAACACCACTATTTTCATTCATCCACGAGTTAAGCCTTAAGGTGACATAAACTCATGAAACATAGTCTATCTCCATCCTAACCGAGTGACAATACCCAGATTCTAGTTTTAATTAAAATATGAATACTGTAAATGAATTGGCATGCACCAACCTCCCCTACCCCTCACCCCCACAAAAAAAAAACAGAAAATAGGTACAGAAATGACTCAAATTCAAGGACTGCCATTAACACAGAAAAAATGGCACAACCCTTTATGCATGCACCATCACTAACTTAAAGTTCACTTCCATCCTACCTTATTTACAACAAAATACCCAGAAATGATTGAAAGCATTATTTGGTACCAAAGCGATGCAAAATATAAAGCAAACAAAAAAAGTCACAACTTTTTCCAACCCATTAACCTAAACAATAATTACTCAATAACCCATAATCCCAAATGGATCCAAAATACCAAATTAAACCCTAGTTCCAATAAAATCAACAAATTAATAGTTGGATCCATAAAACAATAATAATCTACCTTCTTGAACTTCTTCTCCAGCGATTCTTTCACCAAAAACCTGAGATAATTTCTAATCCAACGGTTGTGGCGGTCCTGCCGCAGCTGCGACCACCTCATCACCTCTGTGCATTTATGTCTGTTTCTTTATTTAGTTTTTCATTTTCCGAGTTTGTATGAACCTGTCATTCTCACTATCCAATAATGAATCACGAAAATGAAAAAGCTAAAGGCCTAGATTCAACCATACTCCCAAAATCAAATCAAATATGTCATCTTGAGTTAGCTATTTTCGTTTTATCTCCCTTCCTAAATTCGAAAGGGGAATAAAATGAAATATTTGTTTCGATTTTCTATAATTCAACCATTGAAAGAAACACAAACAATAGAGACCCAACTTTTCTTCCTCTTCTAGACAATTTTTTTTTCTCTCTGTGAAGGAGAAATTTGGATTTTTTTCTTAAAAGGATTGAAATGACTGAGCAGCAAAATAAAATTCCATCTCTATAGTTTTTGCCTTCTCTATTCTATAATGTTTGAGTATATGATAGCATTACGGGCTGTGACGCTTTCTATTTGGACTGTTTGGTTTTGCTTGGCTGAATTGAAGGACCACAGGCGTATCAAAAGTGGAACACAGTGAGTGCGACGGGAGTGCGACTTGTGAATTACATATATATAATATAGTTTCCATGTTTCTGTTGTTCGCATTTAGATCTGCCAAGATTCCATGTTCGCATTTAGATCTGTCAAGATTCCATGTTCGTATTTAGATCTGCCAAGATTCCATGTTCGCATTTAGATCTGCCAAGATTCCATGTTCGCATTTAGATCTGCCAAGATTCCATGTTCGCATTTAGATCTGCCAAGATTCCATGTTCGCATTTTAGTCCTTTATGGCTTATATATGTATGTAATGTATTACATATATATAATATAGTTTATTTCATATACATACATATTAAATATATTTTATACCTTAGTTATTGTATTTTTTCATGTGTATTAGTACATATATATATTAAGTATGCTTTAATCCTTGTATTAATTTCTTTTTCGTATTAAGTGTAATATGATGGGTATTTTCCTTTAATTGTTAGATATATTAATTTGTTAGTATTAAGTTTATTTATTTAGTATAGGTTTAGGGTATATCCATGTTTATATTAATTTTTAGCCAAAAATAAATACTTATTAATTATTTTTTATATGTTTACAAATACTATATATTTGTATTTGTTTGTACGTATACGTTTAGTTGCATGACATCTTTTAATTAGTATGTAAGTAATCCCCATGCGTATAACTCGAATTGAGCACATAATTAATTTAAAGTCTATATTTTCATTATTTTAAAATATTGAGGGAATGGTGGTCTTAAGACAAATAGATATCCTATCTCGACATTTTAAAAAAAGTTGGCTTTGTAACACAAAAATTATATTTGTAGGTCCCTAAACTTTTACAAGGTTTATACTTTAGCAACCAAACTTTCAAAACTTATATTTTAGTCACTAGTCAAAATTTGAGGTATTACAGGCTTAATTTTCATTTGGCATTTTAAAACAAGTGCTTTATATCAAATTCTTTAGGATAAATTATGATATTCCTTTTATTTCAATTAGAAAGAGAGATAGTTGTCTTAATATACATTAGGAGGTTATTTCTCTTCGATTGTAAATGATGGAATATCATCTTTTTTCTTCTTAGAATTCTCAAATTAATAAAATGATATGTGTTTGCTTGTTTAGGAGGGATTATGACATTCCTTTTATTTTAGTTGAAGAAAGAAATCATCGTCTTAATTATTTAAGGGATTATTTCTATTCAATTGGAAATGGTGGAATATTGTTTCTTTCTTCTTAAGATTCTCAAGTTGATAAATTTTTTGTATTTATTTGTAATAAAAGGATCATAATTTAAATATACATTTGAATTCACAATTTTTATTATTAGAGACAACATATAATCGATTATGTATCAATTTTAGGCATTATAGGGTGCTCACCCTTCCCCGTGTGTAATCAACTTTTGAACCCCTTCAAAATGAATTTTGTGGTTACATGTATACCTGTTTTATCTTTTAAAATAATTTTATTAAAATTTCTTTAAAAATATGATTTTTTAGTATTCAACCTACTTAACCCAAAGATCGATGGTGACTCCTACAAATTTTTAGTTTTCCCATCAAAGTTGAGTATCACTCCTTTTTTTCCAAGCTTAAAAATCATTTCGATATCCCTCATGAGAGGTGAAAAGGTCTTTAAGAAAGACGAAATTAGGATTTTCAAAGAAATGATCCTAAATAGACGAAGTTGGTTTATAAAGAAATAGTCTTAAAGAAGATGAGATTAAGGTTTCCAAGGAAACGATAAAGCAAGACAAGATTGAGATTTTAAGATACAAGTCCTTAGAAAGTCAAGACTAAGGTTCGTAAGGGAACAATCTTAAGAAAAGCCAAAGTTAATTTCTAGGGAAATGATCATGAGAAGGATTAGAATGAGTTTTCTAGGAGACATGTCCTAAGAAAATCAAGAATGGGGTTCCTTGGGGAACAATATTTAGAAAGACTAGACTGAACTTATGGGGCACAAACCATAAGAAAGTCAAGATTAGGGTTCCTAGAGGAACGATCTTAAGAAATATGAGATTGATTTTTCAATAGAGATTACAAAGACATCCTCACGAGAGGAGAAATAAAAGTTTTCTTATTATTTCCTTTAATGCAATAATGAATGTTTGATGTTAAGATGCAAATTCATATAAAATGTAGGTTAGTAATGCTAATGTATGCTTTCATGATCAACAACCATAAAAGGATGCTCAAGAAGTCTCCATTCTTTCTTTGATTGAATGTTCTTTGTTCTTTTTCACACTAGGGTGTATATTCTCAAATCTTGGCTCACAATAACCCGCTCTGCTTGCTCTCAACAAATTTCATCTTTTTTAACCTAACTTCTACTTTTGATCTTTCGGATAAGAGAGACCCTTTTCAAATTCAAAGACATATTATTCATTCTCAATAGAAATTTTCATGTTTGAAATTGTTTTTCTTTTTCATTTTGTGAAAAATTTGATAGAGAAATTTTGTAAAATCAAAATGATGTTCGTCACTTCAGGTTCATAATTGAAACAAATCCTAAAACACGAGTTTTTTTAATATCAAACAAATCAATTATTGTCTTAGTCCTTCAAAAATTATAGATATTTGACAAGTGTTAAGACTAAAGACAACTTTGAGGTATGTGTTAATTTTGGAAAGGTAAGGTGTCTTAGGTTGGCTTCTTTTGTCAAGATATAGCACTTTGGATTCTTTGACATTCATTGATTTGATGAAGTAATCATTATGTTCGTCTTCTAGAAACGTCCATTATTTTTAAGCTCTCGTGAGAATTTTTTGGATACGTGGCACTTTGTAAGATAATCTCTTATGCAATAGTTGTATAATTTTCATATTCGAGTCACCTTTTCATGTTTTCAACTCAAACCATCCTTGAGTTTCAAGACACCTTTTGCAAGTTTTCATCTTGAATCCCCATTTTGTTATTTTTTCTCAATTTTATTTATCATGCATTAAAGATTTTAGAAAACATTTTGCAAATTAAAAGATTAACCCTGTGGGGCAGAGTAAAATCTGACGATAGTCCCTTTTACTTAGAAATCCATGTATGATTAAAAAGGACTATTAAGGCACTTAATATAGGCCAGGGCTCATGATTATAAAAAAAAGGGATAAATAGGACCAAAAATTTGTTTAAGGGTGATCTAACCAATGATCAATTCGTTATGATGCCTTCTTTCTTACTTTGCTTGATTTAATCTACTTCTTATGTTTTTTTCTTTTTTCACTCTTTCTTTGGATCACTCTAAACTACCCATTTATGGGTTTTCACGCTAGAGTTCAGTTCTTTTTACTCTACCTCTAATATTTCCTAGTCTTCTTGTGAATTATTTTTGGAACTTTGAGCCAGTTCTACTTGATCAACCTTGTGGTTTAAGGCTTCATGAGTGATTTTATTTGAAAGATTCCTTGCATATGCTTCATGCCCTATTTTTTGACGAATTTTGAATTTCATTTTGATTTAAACACGTTCTTGTTCTACTTATATGAATAATTCAACACTTCTATTTGAGCTCAACTTATTTCTTGTATATGGAATATTTTTTGACATTCTCGATTCAATTTGTATATTTTTTATTAGTACGTTATTTCATAAGGATTTGTCCTTATAATGAAATCAGAGTTGAGGGCTTTCACCCACACAAGCATATTTTCCTTTGCCTTGCTCTATACTGTGAAGGGTAATCCTTGGTGATAACTCTCTAAAAGATTTATTATTTAGGGCATTTTCACTTAGATTGAGCTTGAACTTTAACATTATTAGGATAATTTTAGGTTAATTTTATCATATTTTGCATCATTTGCACATTACGAGTGAGTTTATATCTTTTAGGTTATTTTATGATATTTTGATGTGATTTCGTATACTAATGCTTTGACATTGTTGATGATGTAAATGATGTTGTACCAGATTGTTGAGCTGAATTTGCATCAACTGGTGACTAGCAAGTAGTTATAGAATTTTTTTGTAATCAGACAACTGTCCATTCCAATTGTAAAATGGATAAAAATAAAGGAAAAATCATATTTTTCATATTGGAGGATGCTTTGACCTTTTGGACTTAAAAAATGGGATAACCTTCACAATTTTGAGACCTTATCTTCTTCTCCATTAATTTCCCTAGCCTCCTTTATTTTATGCTCCATGGAAGCTTAATTCTATCATTGGGGAGTGCAACAGCAGCTGGTGAGCAACGTCATGTAGCATTGACAATCAAGTGGAGTTCGATTTTATTTTTTCTCTTTTTTGAGATAAGAAAGTGACGATTATTTAGTTGAACATACTTTCATTTTGGATGATATTTGGTTCTTGAATATAAGGTGTTTTATTAAATGTTTCTGGCTATGTTTTATATTTGAACTTTGTTTTTATATGTTGCTATATTTATGGGATTCGAGAATATATATTTTGATTCCTTCAAACAACTCTTTTGTAATCAAATTAGCTCCCTGTGGGATTCGAGACTCGATATGAATTTTCATATCCACTTTATTACTT